GCCTGTTACCAAGGGTACGTGGATATTGTAATAGCCTTAGCACAGTGTCCTCATATTGATGTAAACTGGCAGGACAACGAAGGGAATACAGCTCTAATTACAGCTGCTCAGGCAGGTAAGGATATTTGCTACTCATTTAATTTTTATGTTCAGTAGTGCACCTTTGTAATTGTGGTCCTTGTGATGACCAATGAATATCGGGCTTCCTCATTTTTAAAGAGAGGGACAGTGTACACCAGGCAGTTATCACTCACTTAGATTGCTCAGCATAATAAGTGAAATACATGCTATGCATTAGTACACAAAACAGATAGCTAAAAATTCTCAGTCATCCAGGTCATAGTTATCCCAAAGGTGCTTTTTCACGAGGCAACTGGACTTTCTTCTTTTTCTTTGAAGACGTTTCACTTCTCATCCAATAAGCTTCTTCATCTCTGACTGGATGGTGGGGAATGGAAGGATTTGTACTCCTTGCAGACAGCTGGTCGTTTGCATTCTTTCAGAGCAGGGATGTCCAACTGGCAGCCCATGGGCTGGATGCATCACGTGCAGGCCACGCCCACCCCAGCTCCACAAAGGCAAAAAATGTGATACATCACATGACACAATCGAGTTTGATACCCGTGATTTAGAGAAGAGGTCCCCAACCTATGGTCTGTGCGCACACTCACCCCACTTATGTCAGTGCTAGTCGAGCCGCAAGCCATGCATCGGCGCTAGTAGCCCCATTTGCAGAGCACACATGCTCACAGCCCCAGTAGCACGCATGCGCACGCAGCCACATTTGCATGTGTGTGCATGCATGCATAAAGGTGCCTGCCCCTCCCTTTCCCACTGGGCCGCCAATCCAGAAAGATTGGAGACTCCTGCTTTAGAGATGCCACCTGGAGGTTTATCTGTGTCGTCAAGGTCACCTGAGTAGTGCAAATTTCCACACCCATTTGCAACACAGATAAACCTCCAGGTGGCTCCTCCCCAGAGAGAACTTCTAGGCTGCCATTATTGATATGAAGTTTTTGATTTGACCCTCCTCAGCCCCCCAGCAGCAATGGCAAAATCTCTTTATTGATTGCTGGCTTCTGTAGCTAATTATAGTGTTACCCAAGGACACTCTGTGGAGATTAACTGTGATGTCAATTACATTCAACAGCACCACTCCCCAGGTAATAGTTCCATTAAAGTGTTAAGGGAACCAATCAGTGCCTTTCCAAATTTGGATCTCACCCCATACCCTCAAAAATCAGAGATTAATTTCCATGCTCATCTATGCCGATGATATAGATATTGTCTCCCATACCTAAATTGTAATCTTCGGGTTTTTGCTAACCATTGCCTAATTATAGGATTGAAAATAAACTATGCAAAAATAATTGTGTTGCCTTTCACCAAGCATATATGGGAAATTAAGGGGGCGTGATGGCTCAGCAAGTAAAGACACTGAGCTTGTCAGCTGGAAAGCTGACAATCTGGGTTCTAGACACGAGTGCTGCAGGACAGAATGAGCTCACGTTTCTTGCCCCAGCTCCTGCCCACTTAGCAGTTTGCAAGATAAATAGGTAGCACTTCAATGGGAAGGTGTTCTGTGTGCCTTGTTGTATAGTCATGTTGGCCTCATGACCACGGAAGTGTCTTCAGACAACACTGGCTCCTTCAACCAAGAAACAGATGAGCACCACCCCCTAGAGTTGGACAAAATTGGACAGGAAAAACTTTACCTTTATATGGGAAATTAATAACCATCCCTAGCAAATAAATATGTTTAAATAACTAGTTATCAATTTCCAAATATCCACTTATTGGATCAGGTCACAGCAGAAAAGGGAATCATTTGCTCCCAGTAGCATTGATGTTTTCAAAATGAGCTGATGAGCCTATGGTTGTTTGGTGCCAGGTTTTGCGCATACTTTAGTGATTCCCAGTTTGAAATCTCCAATCTAAATACCACAGCATTTTATCATAGATTTCCAACTCTACTTTAAAGTCATTTCTCCAGATAGATCTTGAATGCCCCTTTACAGCTGCTCACATAAGAATCTGTCACCTGAGTATAGCAAATGGCTGGTAATAAAAGTGGAGTTAAAGAAATACCTTAGTACAGTGGTGGCAAACCTATGGTATGCGTGCCAGAGGCGGCACTCAGAACCCTCTCTGTGGGCATGCGTGCCATTGCCCCACCCTGCCTCCCCCTGTGGCCCCCTCCTCACCAGCAGCCCCCCTGGAGGAGAGTTGCCCCCAGGCACGGCCCGCATAGAGCAGCGCAGCCAAGGACATGGCAGCCGGTCAGCAGGGGCAAGCCTCTACCCTTGCACCCCGTCGTGTGTAGATGCTGCTGCGGGTGGAGGGTGTGGCCGCTATGACACTGCAGGGCCACCTGGGCAATCTGCGGCAGGCCGTGGAGGTGGTNGGGTGGAGCGGGCGGGGGGGTGGGGGTGGAGCCAGTGGGGCAGGGGGCAGAGTGGGGGGCAGGACGGTTTTTGGGCACTCAGTGTCTAAAAGGTTCACCATCACTGCCTTAGTATGATATGGGATAACTATCATTTAAAGCAAGGCTCTCCTTTTGCAAAAGTGGGAAGAGGTCATGCGGTCATTATTATTATTTCCTTTGTGGCTCCACCCATGCCAAGCGGCTGAGAATTTGTTGCCAAAAGTGTCACTGGAAGAGGCATCAGGTGCTCACAAGAATAGCCAAATGGGTGACTGTTCTCTCCCTCTCTTGCGCAGGCTGGGTGGATATATTTCTTTTTGACTATATGGGCCAGATGGTTTTGGGTGGAAGGCCAGATCTGGCCTGTGGGCAGAAAGGTTGCTGACGTCTAGTTTCAAGGAAAAACTTTCTCTTAAATTGACAGATATTATAAGATCTTCTACTGGCTACTTCAGATTGATTAACATTTTTAAAGACCTGTATATAACCCTAAACAATTATTTGAATCCTTGTCTTAAGGTATAATTCCTGGGCTTTAAATAAGTAGCATTTAGACAATTCTGTGTCATAGGTTTATAAAAATAGAAGTAACTATATTATACCCCATCTGTACTGTAATAAGCTATCAATAAAAATGCTACCTCCCTATAGCTCCACAAAAATAATCCTAAATAATCTAGGATTTAATTTACGCATAGACTTTTCCCTCATTCTAAATCTTTAGTAAATCACGTAAAATAGTCCTGTGCAAAGCAATTTATATCTGCACAATGATTTTTTGTTCCCTAGAGGCAACGCCACTACAGGTAGTTCTCGACCTATGACCACAACAGTCCAAATTTCTGTTGTAAAGTAAGACATTTGTTAAATGAATTTTGCCTCATTTTATGACCTTTCTTGCCACAATTGTTAAGTGAATCGCTGAAGTTGCTAAGTTAGTAACATGGCTATTAAGTGAATCTGGCTTCCCCATTGACTTTGCTTGTCAGAATTTTGTAAAAGGTGATCACGTGACCCCGGGACACTGCAACCTTCATAAATATGAGTCGGTGGCCAAGTGTCTGAATTTTGATCACATGACCATGGGGTTGCTGCAATGGTTGTACATGTGAAAAACGGTCATAAGTCACTTTTCTCAGTGCTGTTGTAACTCTGAACGAACACTGAATGAACAGTTGTCCGATGACTTCCTGTATTTGCCTTGATAAAGTGTTTTGCACTGCCCCAAAGTTTTTTGTCTCCCACTTGACACTTCTAAAAACTAGAACAGGCTTCTGCACAAGGACGAACACCTGCATTGAACCATCTTTCAGCTTTGGCAAGTCTTAGTGGAGAAATCATCTCTCAGCTGAGTAGCAGCTTCTCTAGCAGCACTCCTCAAAGCCAGATGAAACCTCTGTGGGTGTTGCTCATGTGAAGAAGCCTCTTCCAGGTTTTGCAGGTGCTGGAGGATCAAGGAAGGGCTGAGGATGTCCTGTTTTTTGCCCATAATTGATAAAAGTATCCTTCAGTCTTTTCCTGAAAGAAAGCCAAGGAAACAGGCTAAAGAATCCAAGCGTGATATAGCCTATTACTCCGAATATAATCTGTTGTCCGTAACTAGATCTTTGCAGGGTTTGCTGGCAGCAGAGTTTTCCTAAGGATAATCAAGAATAGGAGATCACAAGCCAATATTAAATTCGTGTTTTATAACCTGAGTACATGAGAGAGATTAACAAGATGCTCAAAAATAATCTCATTTGCAAACAATACCAAGGGATGTCAAAAGCAGGTATAAATCAACACAACAGTTTCCCAGTGTTTCCCTAATTACTTTCTTGGAAAAGCTCTTATCCTGTCAGCTCTTGAATTCAGGCATGTACTCTGTTCTTTGCTCCTGCAACCTTAGTTGCTGTCTCTCTTTTACCCTTGGAAGATTTGTGGATTCTAATAGACCATCATCTCTAGCTGTACCTTTTCTTAGGGAGAGATGGCTCTCTCCTCAAGCTGTCCCTCTCAGAGTCCAAAAGATATGAACTCCTCATCAGAGGAATCTTGAGAAGCAACATGACAGTAAAACAGAAAAAAGTAAAGCAGTCTCAAGGGAGCACTTCAGTTGAATGCTTATGGAAGCAAAATACCGTATTTTCCGGCGTATAAGACGACTTTCTAAACCCTGAAAATCTTCTCAAAAGTCGGGGGTCGTCTTATACGCCCAGTCGTCTTATACGCCGGAAAATACGGTATCTCTTTGAAAATTTGCAGAGATCTGTGTGGACAGGACTTGCCTATTTGTAGTGAATTAATACAGAACATTTCTGTATGAACAAAAACATTTTAAAGTTGTAAAATATATTCAAAAAGTGAGGAACTTTCTGACCTCCTGAGAGCTTGTCATTTATTTCTCCAGGTTGAATAAAAGCTCAGTTATGGGTCTTGATAAAAGTTCATGCAGAATACTGAAATGCCATAATAATAATAATAATAATAATAATAATAATAATAATAATAATAATAATAATAATAATAATAATAACAACAACAACAACAACAACAACAACAACAACAACAACAACACCACAACAACAACAACACAACAACAACAACAACAACAACAACAATAATAATAATAATAATAATAATAATAATAATAATAAAAGGAGAAGTATTCAAGTATAAATTTAATTCTAAAGCCTGGTGTGACTGAATAA